TTTTGCATTAGAAATAGCATATCGCACGTGGTCCAAGAGCTCATCCTATTTCCAGAAGGGATTTGGCAGGAGCACAGTTTCCAGGCAGCGATGTGCAGAAGTTGCCCGAGGGGTAGTCACATTCATGCAGGGATATGGAGAGGAAAAGCTGGATGGCAGGCAGTTATATGCCCGGCAGCACAGAAAATTCCCCTTAGGGAAAGTGGATTAGCCACGTCTGTCATCAGCCTGACGGTGGAATAGTTCTCTAGAAATCTTACTAGGAACAGAACTCAGCCTAGCGCTGACCGTCTCTTATACGTCCATGCCTCCTGCCAAGAGCTGCAAGGCAGCAGCTTGAGGACCAGAGGAGAGAGTGAATGAGCAATTATAGACACCCTCTTTCTTATTTGCAAATAGATGTATATAGTATTATGTCTTACAGAATTCGGTTCTTCAAACTGGTATATCAAGGTATTGAAAGAGAGAGAGAGACAGAGAAAGGGGCAAGAAAAGATGTAATTCGCATGCATATTACCAGGCTTCTGAGTGAACATAAGAACATTTGACCCTACAGGTGGTTCTGACACCTGGACAATTAGTATCTTTTGTACATAATATGACAGACTGAATGTTCAAAGAAGCACGCAGGTGTTTTGCATCCTGTAGTCATAGCTCTGGTACCCACACCAGAGTTACAGAGGGGTCTTCACCTTGCAGGAAGGCACTGCATGGAAGGAGGGAATTAATTGCTACGTCAGACCCAAACAGCTTTCATTTTTTCAGTAGACGGGCTCCTGATCATAGCAATATAGTGAGCTGTGCTTTACATATAAGAAGCAGGGACATCAAATGGTTTCAGTGGAGAAGGTGAAAAATAGACGGGTTCCAGTGAGATGGAAAGGTACCTGAGAAAATAGAAGGGGGAGTGATAACGAGCAATCTGCCTACCACATACATAACCCCTAGACATCCCGCACTGCCCACCCCCTTACCCTGGTCCGTGGCTAGTAGAGCAAGGAGATGCCAGAGAAATATGGAAGTATGCATCTAGAAGATGTGTGTAAAATTATAGGAAAAATTCTCTGGCCTTCTCCAAGGCAAATGGGAAAAAAATTAGATTAGCTACTGGACACCTTTTCCTTGGGGTGTACCATAGAACACATAAATTTCTTTGTGAAGCTGATGGCTGTCCTAGGTTGTGTTGTGGAAGGGACTACAGTGCAATGCAGAGTGACAGAGGCCATCGGACCAAGGAAGGTAGACCCAGGGAGATGGACCGATCAGAACTGGCATCAAAGAGGAGAGAATAATTCACAGGGAGAAAAGTCACCCAAAGGTAGACGAAGCCCTTCTTTGTTGACCTAGGCACCTAAGAGAGTGATTGTTCAGGTAGTTTCATTTTAGGAACATGAAGGAAGACCCCATAAGAACTTTATACCTTGGACCTAGGTCAAAGAGAAGCTTGATTTGTCGTAAATACAAACAGTGCCAATCAATG